GGACACGGGTGTTCAGCTCCATGTCCAAGGTATATGACACAGGGACAAGCTGGGCATTTTTCCCACCTGCATGTTTTGATTCAGTAGTGCTAAAGTCCACATAACCAACTGGGAGCATGAGGCTCGTCTCTCATTGGCCTTTCCAGACAGCACATACTTCACCTGCATATGGGTTAAGTTTTAAGAACCGCTGGCGACATCCAATCAAATAGTCCCAATGCTGGAGTGCCCACACCAGGGTGAGCACCTCTCTCTCACAGGAGATGAACTGCTGGTCCACCAAAGTGAGGACCCTAGAGGCATATGCCACTGGTCACAAACCTGTACCATGATCTTGCACCAGGACTGCTCCTGTGCCTCAGGAAGTCGATTCCCAACTAGAGCACGAATGAATGGCCATATTGAGGGTACACCAGTGCTGGGGTTTGGGCTGGTGCATCTTTCAGCATCACTACTGCCAAGTCTTGCTCCGGTCCCTAGCTCCAGGGCACCCCTTTCTGAAACAGACAGTACAGTGGCTCCATCTTTGAGCCATAATCCTCGATGACTTTTCTGGAAAAGTATCAAGCCTAGAAAAAATCTCAGAGTGATAATATCCATAGGTCATGGCTACTGTACAATTAGCTTGACCCTATCTTAGTCGGGGAGCTGTCCTTCTTCTCCCTAGCTGTATCCCCAGTATTTACAGGAGGTTGTAACTAGTTGTGCCTAGCTGGGGTTCACCTTGAACCCTGTCTCTCAGTGCAGTTTAAGCACTCCTGCTCATCTCTACCAAGCAACAGAATATCCTCTACATAGGAAAAACATGCCCCTGGTCCTCATCTGTCAATCATGTCCATATTTTGACCACATAATGGTGGCATATGACAGGGGTGTTATGAAATCCCTGCGGAACCCAAGTGAAGGTGTCTTGTGTGCCTTGAAAAGTAAAAGCAAACTTACACCAACAATAAGGGTGTGGAGGCATTGCAAAGAATGCATTAGACAAGTCCAGTATCAAGAACCACTTTGCTCCTTCGCTGATGAGTGCTATAATCTCTGGCTCCCACATGTGCTTGAGGTAGAGTCACCTTATTGAGAGCCCAATAGTCCACTGTCAGCTGTTTAAGTTTTCCTGTCACTTTTGCGTACTGGCCAGATGGGACTATTATTTCTGCTTGGCTTTTTGACCAGCACTTCTTGCTCAACCAGATCGTGAGTGACCACTTCCTCCAGGAACTTGTACTGCCACTGAGGGGCTGGATCCCTCCTCCTACCTTTTCCAGTGCCTGAATCTTACCACACTCACTCCATGCCCAGACTGACTGGACTCACAGACCCCTCACAGCAGGACTCCAGTCCCCTGGTATTTCCAAAGCCTCAACTGCCTTCAGGCAGCCTACTCTTGCCCCAGGGTCTGGGCTCTCCACTTGCCTAAGCACCCAGTTAAGCAAGTCCATCCTCATAGACAACTGAAGCGTAGCAATACCTAGGGTCCCTGTTTCTTCCCATTAAAGTCTTCCAACATCCTGTGTTCAACAGTTGGCTTTGGCATTTCAAATTGGATACTCAAAAGTGACACTGAGGCACCTGTATCCACAAGTATTGGCTGAACCCCTGGAGCCCCGTTGTCATCTTCCCACCAGATCATAACCACTGGCCTTTCTCACTGATCTATTTTAATAAGCACCACAGTTTCACGGCTGCTATGGGGCATCTCTATTGGGAATCCCTAGGACAAGGATTTTGCACATCCTCAGCCGCTTCCTCCCTGTGAGCTGCCAGCATGCACAAAACAACTGATCAATGCTTGGTTTTCCATCAATATCATCCTTATTCTTATCCTCTATAATAATTTGCTTTGTTTGTCTTTGTCATTTATCACACTCCAAAAAACATATTTGCACTCGGCATTACCGCTGGTGCTACAGGTTTTGGAGGAGTGGATGGGATTCGTGCTGCTTCATGACGTCCCTTACCCATGGGATCATCACTGTGTAGATCAAGGTTGTCCCAATACCATGAGCAGGGGAGATCATAGGGCAGGGGAGACAGCTCAGGATCATTTTCAGGGAATCCTTCTGTCTTCACAGCAGTCAAAATTCCCTGAGCCCCCAACAACTGTCTTTTGAGTCTCCCTATTTCCTGATAGCACATGAAAAGGTGAGCCACTTCAAGTGCTATCTCCTGAGTCTCCTTAAGGACTCTGTCGTAACCCTGCCTTGGATTCCTCCACCTTGGCGTTCCATGCCTTCTCCTCCTCCACACCTTTAGCTGGTGACATTCCTGATCCTTCTCATTTACTTTCCTCATCGCAGCCTGAACCTCCTTTGACTTATCCAGAGTCTGAATCACCAGCATTGAGCCTGCACCTGCCACCTTTCCACATCCTTACTCAATGTGGCATTAAAATTTTCCTCCGTGCAGCCTGGACACCTTTTCATGCAAAGACCTACACACCAGGAAAAGCCCATGCAGCACAGCCCCCTTACGATTACTCTTACCAAGCTTGGGTTTTAAACTATCAAGCCTATCGCAAGCCAACAGCAGGTCACTTCATGCATTTGGACCTTTAAGTTGGTCAGGGAACCACAACTACTTGTGACTAACTTCCTGCACAAAAGACTCCAACACAGACATAGTTACTTAGGTTAACAACCTAGTTGGGACTACCATATGGTTTCACCTTACACAGGTCTTCACCTGTAGTGCCCAGCCTCATCCTACTACAAGTCTTGGCTGAACACCTCTAAAGAGGTTCACTCTGTATCAACAAATTCCCTGCTTGGTCAGGTTACTACGCTTGCATCCTGGTGGAGTTGTCAGTTGGTGGCACTGGATTTATGACCCAGTCCTACCTTGTTCTGGACAAACACAACCTTCAGACCAATCACACCTCCGTCTGTTTGATAATAAGCACATTTTCATAGTTTCATAGATGTTGGGGTTGGAAGGGACCTATTAGATCATTGAGTCCGACCCTCTGCCCTGGGCAGGAATGAGTGCTGGGGTCAGATGACCCCAGCCAGGTAGCTGTCCAATCTCTTTTTAAACACCTCCAAGGAAAGGGATAGCACCACCTCCCTTGGAAGCGTATTGCATATTTTGGCAACCCTCAGTGTGAAGAATTTTCTCGTGATGTCCAGTCTGAATTTTCTCTCTTCCAATTTGTGGCCATTATTTGTACTTACCCCAACAGGGTCCTGGTAAACACTGTATCCCCTTTTTCTTGCTGTCCTCCCCCGATGAGTTTGTGAGATCTACCTCCCCCTTGATGGCGGTCACAGGATCACCTCTCAGCCTCCTCTTGTGGAGGCTGAAGAGGTTCAGGCCTCTTCAGCCTGTATTTTATTGATACATAGTGATAGAAGATAAGAGTAATGCAGGCAAAGAAAGCAAAATGATTAAAGAATACAATACCAATTATTTTGCAGTCCCAGGGGGTTCACAAGGAGAGCAGTGCATTCAGCTGGTACTTGAGCACCACCTTGTGGTTCTTTGCTTGATTGTTAGACATCAGCAGTCTTGGAGGTCAAGGGCTGACGCCAACTTGCTGTTCTGAAAACTTCTCCTCTTGTATTCTTCCCTTGATGACTTCATTTCCAGGCATCAGTGATTGGTTTCCCTGTAGCTGTCATTCTTTACATGTTTTGATTTGTCAGCCAAAATTCTGTCTCCATAAACCCATTACACGCACACATTTTAATTTGGTCATTTGCCAGTATCTTAGTTTGGTTATTCCACTCAAAACTGGAAATCCCAGGGGTTTTGCAGCTGGGCACTGTGACCTGATGCTAATGCTGCAGGATCCTATCTTTGTTATTATTTGTATATTTTCATTTTCCCAGAATGTATGTGCCTGCTTGTCTGTTGGCTCCAGACAACATCTGCCTTTGAAGGCTGAGAACACGAAACTTTGTACTTTAGAAGTCAATTAACCCTTGCCGTAGACCCTGGAACGTGGTTCTAATGGAATAGTTACTCTGTCTAAAAGCCATTTTCTAAACAAATATCTAAATATAATTTTCTAGCTATCAGTCATCTACTCCAACCCAGTGCTCAAAGCAGGACTATCCCCAGCTAGATCATCCCAACCAAGACTTTGTCTACTCAGGTCTCAAAAACCTCCAAGCGTGGGAATTCCACCACCTCTCTGGGTAACCTGTTGCACTGCTTTACTACCCTCCTAGTGAGAGAGTTTTTCCTAATAAGTAACCTAAACTTCCCTTACTGCAACTTGAGACCATTGCTGTTTGTTCTATCATCTGCCACCACTGAGAACAGTCCAGCTCCATCCTCGTTGAAACCACCCTTCAGGGAGTTGAAGGCTGCTATTAAACCCTTTCTCAGGCTTCTCTTCTCCAGACTAAATAAGCCCAGTTCCCTCAGCCTCTCCTCAAAGTCCTGTTCCCCAACCACCTAGCCATTTCTGTTGCCCTCAGCTGGACTCTCTCCAGTTTGTCCACATCTTTTTTGTAGTGGGGAGCCTTAAACTGTGATAAGGTCTTTCATACTATAGATTGATGCTTGTTTGCCAGAGTGGGAGCAGCCATAATTATTTTTAAAATAAGTTAGCTCTTCAGAGTGAAGTGGTGCCAGGTTCTATTCAGAAAGTGGCAAAAAACTCCACCATCTGGAACTGGAGCCAGTCACTGTCTTTATGGGCTGTCTCGACAGAGGCTAAGGACTGGGTATGGGAACAGATTTTCTTATTAACCTGAGAGAGACTTCATGGAGAAGGAAGGTTTAGAGGGGAGAAGCTGGGCAGGGGCAAGCTGATGGTGTTGGCTAAAGGAGCAAGCTTATTGTTTTCTCTGACAATAGATTCAGACAAGCTGGGATTTTCCTTTTAGAGCTTAGCAATGAAGGAGTCCCTGTAACACAGCAGGGAAGCCCTTAGAAAAGCCTCACAAAAGACAAAATAAATATCATATAACTGAAGGAGAATTTGCAAATGGAGGGAAAAGAAATATGGGCAGAATGCTTGCTCTAAATGGCTGGTAATTTTTTGTGCCCCACAGCTGCATCCTATGACAAAAGAATTGCCCTGTGGGATATCGGTGTTCCAGATTGTGACTACAACTTCAAAGCAAGGTAACTCCATGCACGTGAGACATGTTTTGTTTGAACTCCTGGAAGAATTGCTTCCCAGCAGAGTGTAATCATTTGCTTTATTTGCCAGTCAGTTGTTGGTGATGGAAGCTGTCTCTGTGCCATTACGGATTGCCCTGGTCCCTTCCTGCCCAGATCAGTATCTGCTAGCTGGTTGTGAAGATGGTTGCTTTGCCTGGGATATTAGATTGGATAGACCACAGAAGAACAGGTAAGACCCTGTCTTCAGGATGTTCTTTTTATATGCCCTAACCAAGAGGGGGAGATAAAGCCTTTCATGAATTGGCAGAGAAGTCAACCACCTTGAAGACAAGGCAGCTAATAAGGGTCAAATAAGTTTTCCTGTCATGCTTAGAACACTTTTTGTGCCCACAAAGGCAAGTGATCATTTGGCCAGAGGCATGCTCCAGCCTGGTTGTTGTGCAGCAAAATTAAGGTTGGTGACAGCTCCCCAAAGTTGAGCTTTTTTAGTGCAGGGCTGGTGCTGTGCTGTCCAAGGGCTACACAAGATTGAGATGAGGACACGGGCATTTTTACATGTACTCCAGGATGCGACCCTGGGCACTTTAATTAGTGAGCTGCACTAATTAAAAGTGCCTGAGTGTCATGTGTTTTGGTGTCCCTGCACTGAAAAAAAGGTGGTGGGGCGCTTTGAGCTAAAGCTCATCAAACATGTTTTATTTCAGTGCCCCGCTGCCATTTTTTCAGTGTGGGGATGCTGATACATGTGACGTGGAAGGCTGCTGGAGCGTGTCAATTTCTGTGCTCCAGCAGACTTGATTTCCAGTGGATTGGAGCAGGCTCCCCGCACATCTGTAGGAGCCCATTAGAGACAGGGCCTGTCTTCAGATTGTTTAAGATGGTACATACAGCTCAAAACTGGCCTGGGGCTTGGCATAGAACTGTTAGACCAAATTCTGCACAGTACTTCCCAGGCTAGCAGGGGCACTTGCCCTTCTTAAACTGACAGCACAAGTTAGTATTGTTAGCACCATAAAGCTGCACTATGCTGGACAGCAGTAGATCTATAAGCACCAAGGACAGACAGTGGTTCTTCAGCAAACTTCTGTTTGGCTCCTTTAAAACCTGATAGCACACACTGCAGCTAGGTGTTCAGTGGGGAATGATCTTGGCCAATCACAGAAGGTCTAGCCAGCACTATATTTCCATTGCTGAAGTGCCCTTGTGATGGCCAAGGATTGTACTTGCTCATTTAGTACTCACACAGGACTTAACTGTTCCCAATTCATAAGGCCTTTTGAAGTTACGTTCCAGTTTCCTGATGAGGAGGGAGAAGAGACCACTTCCCACAGAGTTGATGGCTTGGCTTTTTTGAACAAGGATGTTGTAGGTGAGCATGAACTCGACTACTTGTTGCTTCGTTTACTTGAGGCCAGAATCCCTTGCAAACTACTTGGGGCTAGATTTTGTGAATGTTAACCAGTGATAAAATATGTGATTAGTGCAGTTTTACAGCAACACTGAACTCCAGAACTCCTCTCTGCAGTTCATTAGATATAAATCCAGGCTCAGTATGTCATATAGATGAAACCCTGTGTTTTGCCAGTTGGGTTATTGTGCACCTGAGGTGGGGCCAAGACACCAGCTACCACTATGTTTGCTTTCTCTGTGGAGGACTGAAGGTGCTGTATAAATTATACAAATCCTGATGTAGATTTTAAAGAAAAGCCATGACTTCAAAGGAGACAGGCACCTAAGGCCTCAGCCTTAGTGTTAGACCAGTGTTAAAGTAGCCTTAGACCAGCAGCCTTAGACCAGTGTTAAAGTAGAAGCAGGTGCTTAAATATACAGTAATTATTTTCCTCTGCACCAAAAAGCCTGTGAACAATAGTTCATTTGATTTTAGTGTATGGCATAAGGGCAAACTGAATCCTTTTAAAAAGATGTTAAGTCAGTCAGCCAAACCACTGGTACACTTTAGATGAACTGGAAAGAGCTCTTTAGATGAAAGTTCTTTAGATGAACTGGAAAGAGCATGGAGCTCATTTGGATCACTTGAGTTATTTTTGCAGTACTTGTTCTTTAAGACTTTTGTTGATTCTTGCTGGTCCACTGCAGCTGTGCAGGACCAAGAACCACCTCTCATGTAAAAACAAGTGGCTTCATAAGGTTTTATTATATACTAGCCTATTGCTCGTCGAGAATGACAGGGGTGGGGAAGGGGGATGGAGTGCCACCCCCTAATGCCCCATGCTGCCACTGTTCTGCCTCTTGCAGGGAGCGGGGTGGGGGAGCCAAGGTGAGCTCCTTGGTGCGGCTTCAGAATCATGGTGGTGCTTCCCCACATTTGGAGCACTCTGATTGGCTGTTTCTGTCAGCCAATCAGAGCGCAAATAAAGCATTACAGGCGGACAGACTTAGGCTTTTACAATATTAGAATTTGGTTGAGGCAAGACTTAATATCACAGCAAGCTAAGGAATAGTCATCAGGCTCACAAACCAGAAGCCCTTTCACCAAGGAGCTGCTGTGTCTTGACCTGAACTAGGAAGTGGTTTCATTTGCACCCTGAAATGTTTGACTTGGTTTTT